TTAACTAATTGATTTTAGTTAACTAATTTTAATTAGAAAAGCTAATTACCAACCTTAGTCCATCAGTCTACTAAAAACATTAAAGTAGGGGCTCAGTGGTAAAGYGCCTGCCTAGCACACGTTAGGCACTGGGTTCTATCTTTAGCACCACATAAACATAAATAAAATAAAGGTATTGTGTTCAACAACTAAAAATATATTTTTTTTAAATTAAAGTAGTTGGGCTGGGGTTGTGGCTCAGTGGTAGAGCGCTCTCCTAGCATGTACAAAGCCCTGGGTTCAATCCTCAGCACCACATAAAAATAAATAAATAAAATAAAGGTATTGTGTCCAACTACAACTAAAAAATAAAGTATAAAAATAAAATTAAAGTAGTTCCATAAATGATGTGTCATGCCCATCTCCTGCCTTCTATTAAAAACAAACCTGTTACAAAATTTAGTGATCCTGATTTTTTAGAACTTCTTGAACTATCTGAGTTAAAGACATAAAATGAAATAAGTCACTGCAAAAACACTAAACCTAACAAACATAGGAAGTAGAGAAGTATAGGGSGAGAGCCTACTGCTATGGCAGAAAAAGGTTCTATTCTCAGAGATGAATCAAAGTGGCTATATGACCTTGAGCAAGTTACTTAATTTTAAATAATGTTTAATGTTTTGAGTCTCCATTTTCTCATCTGTAGAACAGCAATAAATTTATTACATCTACTTCATCAAGTGTACATAAAATGATTTCCAAAACAATAAAATGTCATATAAATATAAGGGTATTACCATTTGGCATAAACAATTTCAAGTTTATACATTTTTTTTTTGAGATGGAGTCTCACTATGTTGTCCAGCCTGGACTCATATTATCCTCCTGACCCAGGCTTCCCGGGTACCTAGGACTACAGGTACGCACCACTGTGCCCAGCTCATCTTCAGATTTTAAATGGATTGTTTCAATTTACCTTCATATATCTTTGCCATGCTTCCTATTTTCTACACACAAAGATCTACCAGGGTAGGGAGGAACTTATAATTATTTATGAAACACAGTGGGCTATCACTAAATATTTGTTGAAAAAGATGCTCATCTATATTTATTAGAAATCAAAATTCTACCACACAAAATATCTCACCTTGTAAACATTAGTCAGCTGGCTGCTTTCAAATAAAATAACAAGTAACAACAAACACAAAAGATACCTGTGTTTTTGTCAGGAGTTTCCTTTGTGCACATTACTCAGCACAAATGTTAATATTCACCCTGTGTGAATATACATGGAAGRAATGTGCTTAATGTGCTTTAATGTTTTGGTTTCATCTGACACATGCTTTCTGCACAGAAAACTACTTCCTCTCTTAATAAGAGCAAGATTTTTAAGGATGCCTGATTTCTTCTTTGGGTTTTACTTCCTAGGTTTGAGAACTCACAGGAAAAAAAAATGGTGGATATAMGGTCATTTCTTAAACCATTATGTCATTCTTAYACTGAACAATAAGAAAAAAACTTCAGTTTTGAAAACCTAAAACATAAAGATATTCTAATACTTATTTCTAACACTTGTGTTTTCATATTATTGCCAATACACTAAAATTCATCAAATAAAAACACAACTTCTATTTATTTATTTGGTGCTGGGGATCTAACCCAGGACCTTGCCTTGTTCATGCTAGGCAAGTGCGCTACATGAAATAATTTCCTACATACATCCCAAGCCCCACAACTGTTTTAAATACAAAAGATCCTCATACCTCTGAACATTATATAATGCCTCAAAAATTTAATTCAAGCTTATGTACTCTCAGTCTTAATTATTTGCCCCCCCAAAAAAGTAGATGTGTCAGATTATCTATTAATAATTTATATTAAGCCATTGGATAACAGTTTTGTATTTACATTTGAATGAGTATCCTGAGAAGCAAAATTCCTAGTAGTTCAAATAATGAAACAACCTGCAAAATTAACCACCAAATTCAGCAGTCCATTTTTCTGTTCATTTATCTAGCTATACTTTACTGCTGTAAAGTATGGCTCCTAATTTCTTACAAAAGAGGGGCTCTATGTGCTCAATTTTGTCCTATTAGGGCTTAAGGGAAATTCCTGAAGTAAACAGGAACAACAAAAAAGATTTGTCCTAGGAGTATATATAGGTGATGATTTAATCAAGACTTAAAAACAGGTTCTCCTCTAAGATTAGCACAAATTATGTAGAATTTTTTAATTAAGTAGTATTTACAATATAGCTGCTACATTTATGTGCACCTTTCTACTTTGAGGACAATTTTAAAGTTCTATCTTAACCAGGAACATTATACTACTCATTTTGGCTATAATGAAATCCAATGTTTGATTACAGCCTAATTCTGATTCCCATCAACCTGTCAAAATAAAAAGCACATAACATGTATAACATTCAGGAATTAGACAAGAGATGATAAGGCAGCATCCTGTCACTGTTCAAGGCTATAACCTTGAGAACTAAGAGACACAGAATTCTAAATTAGTTCCAGAACCACATTCATGGCCTGTCACATTGACTCCTGGGTGACTTCTTCAAACCTCCATACCAGTTCTGCAGGTTTGTTTCAACAGTTCACTAAGTGATCTGAAATCAAGGCAACCTGTTCTGGTAGATTGTCACAATCCAAAGACTCAAATAACAATCCATACTTTGCCCCTCTTAAGCTACATGACCTTGAGTAGTATTTATTCTCTGAGTCTTAATTTTCTCCTCTGACCACCAATCTGGAAAATTACTTTGTATTGGCCTAATAAATGGATGAAAATCTTACACTACTAAAATCTTACCAGTTCAAAAAGTATTACCAACTATCTCATTATGGGGATCACAAACAAAACTGTATGAGATTTATTAAATTTTAATACTTTTTTCAATCTTTTCTTTTTAAATAAAATAATATAGAGAAATCAAAATTTCACAGAGGTTAGAAAATGGTGTTTTGTTGTTTTGTTTTGTTTTGTTTTGCAATGCTGGGGATTAAACTCAAGGCCTCCAGCACACTACAAGTATTCCACTACTGAGCTAGACCTCAAGYCTGAAAACATTCTTAAAACTAACATTTTACATAGTAAAGATAGAGGCTGGACTACTAACAGAAGGCTATATATATTTGGTTCATTTTTTTAAATGTTTGAGTGCTTATATTTATTCAAACCTCAGATGGTCAAAATCTTTAAGCCTTTCTAAAGAAAACTGCATTTTAGAACCCAGATACAGCCCAGATGTCTAAACAATGGGCTACATGATACACCACAGACTCCAGGCAAAGTCACAACAGGATGAGAAAAGAGCCTTCAGCCTCTCTCAGATTTCCTGGTCACTGTTATTTTAAAACTTGATCACATAAACACAAACAGGGAAAAATCCATTTCAGATAAGCTACATAGGTTATGGTTTATGATCTTTGTTTTTAATAAACTGCATTAAATATTATAACTTCATTTTTCTTATTTATGTTTCTAGGCTTTAATAAAGAGTAAATGTATATTATAATACCATATAGTTTTATATACTATGTGACTTTTAATCATAATAATCTTTTAACAATCATGCTTCTATTTCTGTCTATTACAATTAATTTTTGAAAACAGGGCTGGGGATATAGCTCAGTTGGTAGAGTGCTTGCCTTGCATGCACAACGTTCTGGGTTCAATCCCCAGCACCACACAGACACACACACACACACACACAGACACACACACACACACACACGTAACTTAAAAAGCTTAAAAAATAATATATAACATGTCACAAAGAAAATACAAATGCAATGAGCAAATCTACATTACACTAAAATGACTCCTTTTTACTACCGTGCATGTAACTCCTGTGAACTGAAAATCCTCAAAATGAGCTGAATATTTAAAAGTCAATGAGCTATTCTGAACGGCTGTATTGTTTCAGGCTCTGGCTACAGCCCACTTTGCATTATTTGTGACAATTGCTGAAATTAATGCTAGAAGGCACTAAGGTAATTTTTTCGCTAAACATTTTCCAACTGGAAAACCACAACATGTATGAAGTTCAGTTAATTTGTACAGAAATGCTGTTTTGCTGCCAACCTTTGTACCATGAACACTACCAGTCCAAGTTCAAGATGCACATTTTATGGTGTGAAGATATTTCCAGCTAAACTTTAGGAGGTTTTAAAACTCTCAAACTCTGAAGATATTTTGACGTATTGCATCTATATCACCAAAGCATAACAGCATGAAACTTTTATTCAGATGTATCATAGTCTACTAAGTTGGAGCAGTGTTCCTAATTATCCAATAATACTGGTACATTAGGATTTAAGCATCTCTCTCCTACATAACAGTATGCCAAAGAAAACGTAATGCGTCTTTTGAAACGGTAGGAAAATATTTCTGACACGGTTATTCTAGCACTAATCGTGTCAAATTATTTCTTACTTAAAATGAAAACCCAAAGTTGGAGCATTTTAATCGGTTTAAGGCGTTCTTGGAAATTGATAAAGTTCTTGTTCAGGACCACATCCGTAAGTAAATACTCAAGGTACTGAACTACCTAAAGACTAAAAATACAGCTCTACAGAATCCCAACATGGTCTCCTACATGACTAAATTATTAATGGTAACATTCGATCTTCTCATCTGCAAACAAACCACACTCTTTCTGCACTGAATTTTAAGCGTGTTTACAAATGAGAAAATAAAATTATCACGGAGTGTTCAAGCGAAAAGTGGACACCTGAGTGCTCGGCTTCTACTTGGGAGCCAGAGAAGAAACAAAGGTACCTTGGAGATAATAAACCCATGAAAGAAGACTCTCATTGTCCTTCTGCAGAAACCACCCGTGTCACCAAGGCGAGCGGCGCCGCCCGGGCCCTCCCATCACCTGCTCCTCCCGTCCTGGATCTCGGGAGGTGAGCCCAGCCTTCGGACCAGGGGCAGCGAGACGAGGCCCCGGAGCAGAGTCGGGCCCGGGCAAGCGAGGCGCCCCGCAGCTGAGGCAGCGCCACACTCACCCGCAAGGGAACGAAGGCAGGTGCGCGGTGGCAGGGCTACCTGTCGCCGGKGAGGCTGGAGGGCGTGGTGAGGGGTGATGAGGCTGAGGAACGAGGGCAACGACACAGCCAGGCACCAGGACCGGGCGACGACGGCGGCCAGGCTGCGCACGCTTCCTGCTCGGACAGATCCCGGGTCGGTCTCCGCCCGCCGGCCGGCGCCTWGCCGAGTCCCCGGCCCCGCCGCGCGCACGTCACGGCTACGGAGCGCCCGAGGGGGCGGGGGCCCGCGGGCCGGGGCGGGCCCGCCGGACGCGGGGGCGCGCTCCGGGAGGGGGCCCGGGCTCCTGGGCCGCCCCGCCCTCGGCTCGCCAGGGTAGCTGGGCGCCCAGCCTCTGTAGCTGGGTGGGCGCTCGGCGGCGCTGGGAGGGACTGCCTCTGGCCAAACTGGGAACCCTTCTGCCACCCCCGGAAAGGCGTCCTTTGCAGTGGTAATTGTTCCCGGTCCCAGCAAAGCAGGTTCCCTTACACTGGATGCCCGGACTGTGCAGTGGCAACAGCAAGAATTAGTTCAAGGAGAGAGAAAGTTGCTCCTAGAGGGCGAGGATCCGGGCGCACCGCGCTGCGCCTGGCAAGACCACTGCGCTGTGGGCTCAGGGCCCAGGTGCCCGGGAACGGGTGGGAGTTTGGCTGTGTGGTGGCACAGGAAAGCACCGCTGCATACTCAGCAGAATCCCGGCTGACTTGGGCTGGACAGCCGGACGCAGGGAGTAAGCTTCCTGAATAGCTACTTGCTGTTTGGCCTTTGGAGGACCAGGCCAGAAATGGAAATTTTGCATTTCTTTGCCCTCCGCTTCCACCCTCCCCACCACAGTGTTTAGAGCCCCTTTCTGGTTATTTAATTTTACTGGCTTTATAAGCGACACATCAGTGAGTCATCTTTTAAAATGAAGTACGAAGTGCCTTTGCAAATTTAAGTTACAACGGAAACGTATATCGCCTTTAAGGTGAAATGAAACTTTTAAGAAAAGGAAATAATTGATTATGATGTTAAAAGTCTCTGCCTGGGCAGGGGGGAGCTAAGTAACAAAGGAGAATGACCCTTTTTTACAATTTATAATGTTTATACGTAACCATTTGTAAATTTCAAAAAATCTGAAGATTCTGAAGAGGAGACAAGTTTCAGATATTCAGAGGCCCCAAGGTTCTCCTGGTGAAAAGTTACCTTCTGATGAGAAAATTTAGCATACTAAATTTAAGATATTAAAGAATAAATTAGAAGCTGGATGTGGAGGCAGGAGGATGGCAAGCTTGAAAGTACCCTGGGCTACTTAGCAAGACCCTGTCTCAAAATAAAATTAAGGGGTTTGGACTTTATACTAACGCTACTGGAGTGCTGTTATGGAATTTTAAATAAAGAAATACATAATCATACTTTTATAAAAGACTGGTGGCATTGTAGAGATTGGATTAGAAGGGGACAAGATGGCTACCTAACCAATGGTGAAGCGTCTGCCTAGCATGCAGTGCCCTGAGCTCCAACCCCAGTACCACCAAAATAATTTTTTWAATATTTTTTAGTTATAGGTAGACACAATATCTTTATTTTATATTTATGCGGTGCTGAGGATCGAACCCAATGCCCCACACATGCTAGGCAGAGTGCTCTACCTCTGAGCCACAACCCCAGCCCTATAAATTTTTTTTCTTAATTAATATGATAAAATAGGGAAGTAAGAAAGAGGAAGAGAAAGCAAGAAAGGAAATAATTTACAACAATCTCAGAAGTTTAATTTCAGATTGCCATGAGATAAATCTTAAATTATATTAAAACTACATTTTGAAATTATTTAAAACGTTGAAGATCTCTGTGTATTCAGTCCACTGATTTGACTTAATTTGAATTTACTATTAGAAGCCTTTGGCAAATCAATAAAAGCCTTTACATTTTAATGTTTTTTGTAACAAATGACTTTGATTTTTTTTTTCCCTGTCTTCTTAACCCCTCACCTCCAGTAGTTACAGAGTCTCTTTATTTCTAGTCCRTAGCTCTCTATCCAGTTCTTCTTCCTAGGTATTACCATTGTCTTGTTTCAGGCCACCATCATTCCAAGTAGTGTATACTACAGTAGTCACCTAACCTATTTCCCAAGCCACAATCTTGTCCCCATCTAACYGGATCTCTATAATGCTACCAGTTTATCTCAAATAAAATCTGATTATCTACATTTCTATTTAAAATCCAGGGTCTCTAGGGAACCACTCAACCACTGARCTACACTCCCTCAACCCCAGCCTTAAGATATCTTATAAGACCTTTTAACTTAACCACCAGTCACAAAACTGGCTGTTTTTATTTGACTAGCATAGTGGGAATTTATTTGTTTGTTTCCAATTAAATTTGAATGCCTTTTCTTTGGTCATATGGTTCCCAGTTCATCACACTGTTCTAAGCTCCATGAAGCTATACTAAAACAGATTTCATTACACCATGTTACATTCCTGTCTTTGGAACCACTTTCATTTTGGTCCATTCTCCTATCCCTGCTTACCTGTCCAATCTCATTTCTACCTACTGCCTTTCTCCATTTCTTATACTTCATTCAAGCCAGTCTGAAGTGCTTCTGTGTCTTGAACAGCTTTATTTATGCTATTTATTACACTGGAGCTTTGCCAAGCTAAATCCAATTAATCCTTCAGAACAAAGCCTATTTGTCCCCTTCAAGAAGCTTTCCCTAAACCCCCTTGTGACAAAACCTAGGTGCARTTTGGTACTCTTTCTCATCTCTCAGTACCCATTGTACAAATATCTTTTCTAACGCGTATTTCACCATTGCTACTTAAGTTTATCCATAGATATTCCCCAACTAGACTATAAACTCCTTGAGGGCAGAGTTGAAGACTTTTCTTTGTGTTCCTAGTGCCAAGCACAGTGGCTTTCCCATGGTAGGCAATCATTAAGTAAGCACTCGTTAAATAATGCCTGCCCTAGCACTGCTAGTGAATAAATGAGATGATGAATGAATAAATGGATAGACAGTTAATTCTAGGAAATTGTGTGCAAAGTGAATGTGACTGTCTTGTTTGTTGCCAAAATTCTATAATTTATTTCATATTTTCATTTATAAGTTTTACAGCTTTGCTCTGACTCATTAAATGTTTGTAAGACTGTTCCCTGGATCATCTTGTATTATCCTCTCCTAAACTGAGATCCATGACTTGTTATGCTGCTCATGCTGGTCTTGAACTCCTGGGCTCAAGTGATCCTCCTACCTTGGAGTTCCACAGTAGCTGGAATTGCAAGCACATGCCACTGTGACTACTTGGACAGAATTTTATTCTTCTTTTTTATGGTACCAGGGATTGAACCCAGGGGCACTTACRAATTGAGCCACATCACCAGCTTTCTTTTTTTTATTTTTTATTTTAAGTCAGGGTCTCACTAAGTTGCTGAGGCTAATCTTGAACTTGAAATCCTCCTACCTCAGCCTCCTGAGTCRCTGGGATTACAGGCATGTACCACCACACCAGGCAGAATTTTTAATTTCAAAAACCTCAGTATTGGGCTGGAGTTGTGGCTCAGTGGTAGAGCATTTGCCTAGCATGTGTGAGGCACTGGGTTCRATTCTCAGCACCACATATAAATAAATAAAATAAAAGTCCATTGACAGCTAAAAAATATTTTTTAAAAAACTCAGTATTTTGTTGTGGAGATGTAGCTCAATAGTAGAGTACATGCTTTGTGTGCATTGATCATGTATTGTATTACATAGTTAGGCCTATGATGGTTGTGTCATTTTTCTTGTCATTATTCCCTAAACAATATAGTAAAACAACTATTAACATAATATTTACATTGTATTGGGTATTACAAGTAATCTAGAGATGATTTAAAGTATATAGGAGTTTGTGCTTATGTTATATGCAAATACTATGTCATTTTTAAATATTTATTTTTTAGTTATAGGTGGATACAATATCTTTATTTTATTTTTATGTGGTGCTGAGGATTGAACCCAGTGTCTCATGCATGTTAGGCAAGCTCTCTACCTCTGAGCCACAACCCCAGCCCCACTATGTCATTTCTTATAAGGGTCTTGAGCATCCCTGGATTTCAGTATCTATAGGGATCCTGGAAACAATTCTGATGACCTTAAGGATATTAGTCTTTTAACACCCAATGAATAATATAAGTAAGTATAATAGCACTGACTCCAAGTTGTGGGGCCAGCAAGATAAGGAACCAGCTCTCCCACCAGTTTTATTTACATGTCTGTGATCTCACTGAGTCTTGCTGGTCTTTGGATATACAGAGTCAGCTGGAGCATAAAAGGCACAGTCAGTAAACATTTGTAGAACAGCTGAGCTGAATGAGCAAATTAGCTTCATAAATTTCACTCTCTTAGACAGTGGACTCCTTTAGATGAACAGTTTTAGAATATTTTAGAGCTTTTATGTTATAGAAGAGAGGGAGCTTTATTCAATTCTCCATGGRAACGTGAGATTTAAATTTAGGGGATGCTGCCTAGCATGTATGAGACTCAGATTTAATCCCAACTCCATAAAATAATTAATCAATAAATTTAAGTGATTTGCACAGATGATTGAATCTTTGTAAAGTATATATGCCTTTTATCTCAATTTTCTATAAAATGAAATTTCACAGTATTTCTAATTTTAATTTTCACCAATTATCCTTTAACTTTACACGTGTAAGCTATTCTATGTTATTCTTACCAAAATATAAAAAGGAAAATTATACCCTTTTTCAAGTTTATGAATGAGATGTGCAAAATTGATACTATATAATATAAAATTTACTATAATTAATACAAAAAGGCAAGAAAACACTGAGAGTGGGAAGTAAGCACTAAGGACATTAGGGATTCACAATATTCTTCTGAAAAACGTGTTGAGTAAAAAGCTTTGTTGTTGCCGATTTCCTTGCCTTAAAAATAGTAATATCTTGAAATAGATCAAGGAAGTATCAAGAAACCACTGACCAGGAAGTTTCTAATTGAATGTGTGTCGGAGTTAAATATTCTCCTACAGTTAATAACAATCCTAAATTTGAAGTGGACAAAGCATTAAATGAATTTATCAGGTAATAACCTGAGTTAATTCCTATAGGTTTTGTTGAGACTTACCAGATAATTATTGTATTAGTTAGCCTTTGCTGTGTAGCCAACA